TAGCACAATTTATTTTTTATCTCGAAAACAGATAGAGATAGGTATAGGACATTATTAACAAAAAAGTATTAAAATACCAGAGCGATTCCAAAAATGTATTAATATACAGGGTGTTCCATTTAAAAAAAAATAATTGCTAGGACTTTTTGATAGAAGTGGCAACGCCGCAATGCTGGAAATATTTTAGATCGATAGAACAGATAAGGAAATGTGAGAGGTGAAATTTTCAGAAAAATCATGTTTTGCGTTTTCCAGAAACGTCTAACCTATCATCGACCGTGAGTCACGCTGTATTTTTCTTTAGTTAGATCAGCACTGGAATATGCCTCAGTTGCATGGTTCCCATACTACACATGTGACATTTAAAACATCGAAAATGTCGAAATTCGATTTATAAAGTATATATCCTTCAAAATGAAGACATATTCCAACTTTAATCGTCAAAATATTTTAAATAATCTTAACTTAACTGAACTTATCACACTTACCAAACTACTGTCAAGTGAAGTCGACTGTCCTTATCTTTTAGAAATTATTAAGTTCAATGTAAAATATCACGATACAAGAAATCCTCCACTTTTTTTCATAAAAAATCATAATACTAACTATGGTTACAACACACCGATGTCCAGATGCATGAGATGGTTTAATAAGTATAATGTCGATACCCTTGTAAACTCATTTAGTGAATTGAAAACATCTCTTGGTGACATAAGGTTAAAAAAAATATACAAAATGCCACCAGAAAAACTGTTACTGCTTGACTCACCCTGTACAAAATGTTGAATTAATCAATTTTGAGATATTTAAACGATAAGCATATCAGTGGGTTAATTGGTTTAGTCACATCGTCATTTCATTAGGTTGATTGAGAATTTCATTTTGAATAATGCTGCACTCATCCTGTATAAAACAATATTTTTTATCAAAAACCAGTCTGAAAGTATTGCTTTATGTGCAAGCAGTATCCGTCGCGTAAAACATTTTTATTTAGGATGTTTTCCTGAAAGCAACATTACTTTAAAGAAATGGCCACTTACCTACTGTGATACCCTGTATCTCGAAAACTAACCATAGGATTTATTTGGGCCCGTGGAGATTTTTGATCAGCATGACTTGAAATACATCATATCAAACATTCATCGAATTTCACCGGGACTCATTTTTCATTAGAAAGGTGCGGGGTTCTTTCATGTCTTATTTTCATGTATGTCATTCACAAATAGAGCGTCTTGTCTTTTCGTTTTTTTCTTTATATTTTCTTCAATACTGATGTTTTTTCATGCATGCTTTATGATAATTACCAGTACAATTTCAATAGTAACTTTTATTCAAATCAATTTAAAAAAGCAAATTATAAATCTGGGATATGGCAAAAATCCATGTAATGTTGTGTGAAGTTAGTGTTAATTCAATTTCTTATTTGTATCAGAACCCTCGATAAACTATCTTTGCATTATATCGAATTGAATCTTCAGTTTTAAAACGGTGTATTTTCAGCGTTATAACCAAATATGCCTGGATATAAATTGGATAAATTCAAATGTAATTGTTGAAATACTCTTATGCTTTTCTTGGTTTCCTCGTTCTTCAAATTATTTCAATCTATTTCAAATGCTTGCATTTCTTTTTTCATTTCAGCGTTAGCGTTTTATCGAAACGTTCTATTGATCGCATTGAGGAGGAGAGGGAAGCAGACAATGAGAACGTAATAACGAAAACTAAGAAAACATTCAGCGAGGACAATAGTTGGGATTAAAAAACGCCATTTCAAAAAATATTCGATTTATACATAGAAAATAAATATTAAATATTTTCAAATAAGATCTATAATTTTGTTTTAACCGTACACATTGAGTGAACAATAATTTTGAATAAAAAACAGTATACTAAATGNATTTCATTTTTGTTGTAAGAACCGACTGCGCATCGTGTTCGCACATTTTGTTACATAACGTCACTTACGTCACGTCACTTACGTCACTTACGGCCACTCACGTACAGCTTTCTGATAGTTAAAACTGTACGTGTGTGGCTATTTTGGTCACAGTTCAACTCCAATTTTTCAACTGTACAGTCTAACTGAGAGAAATGAAATTATTCATATTTTTTACTGAAATGGCAAACTGAACTGAGTATGTGTGGCGGTTTGAACTGGATTGTCTATCCTACTCAGTTTAGTTTCTGTCGACAGCTCGGGTCAAACTTCTCCTGGACCCCCCCACTATGCAAGACTAGGTGCCGTTCGTTTCTCCCACAGGCAGACAGGTGAACGTCGCACATCAACTTAGCATCATAACTATAGAGTGTGCATCAACATGTCGCGCAAACAAAACCAAGTTAGTATCAACTTTATCGAGCTATATCGATCAGAACCTTGTTTATGGCAAGTTATATCTGCTTACATTACCATGATCGTGCAAAAAAGGATGCAGCCTACAATAAATTGTCAAAGAAGTTGGAGGAATTGGAATCTGGTGTCACAAAAAAAACTGTTATGGCAAAAATAAACAGTTTGTTTCAAGGGCCAATTTCTGCCCTTAACTATATTTCTAGACTAGGATAGTCGCAAAGTGCGTGACCTAAGCAAACTTACGCTTTTTTTGCCTTTCAATTATTATTGTGTATTGTGACACTTAACGACATCTAGTGGCGAGTAGTGGTACTATGNAGATCTTACTCACAATAGCCTGGGAAATGTGATTCTCCGGATATTTTGCATTAAATAAAGTACACATCTCACTTTGACTCCGCATTCTATCCCTACATCCCAACAATATCAAGACTTCGATACGCTGCCACATAGGTTTGCATTTGAAAAAAAAAGTTGGGGACGGTTGCAGCGAAGGGATTGAAAAAAAATATTTCATTTTATTGCCAAAAAATGCGGACAACGTGAAATCAACTGACGTGTTTCAGCTTTTTTTTACTAAAATACTGGTTAAAAAGATATTGATTTTATTCCGGACTTTTGCGCACCCCTGTATATTAAATCCATCCATTTGATATGGATTTCGTTAATAATCTCTCAATTATTTATATGTCTTTCAAAGTGTGTATCACTCCATGTTATAGAGGTTTTTTATGCTAGTTGTTGAATGTCACTACGCCCTTTATTATTATTTCAGATATGATAAAAGTGTTTCATTGAACAGTATCAAAATTCATAACAAATACCCACTAAAATAGTAGAAGAATATGTCGAATTTCAGAACTAGCATTTATGAATTATTTTATCGATGAGAATGTCATCTTCAACGCCATTAACTCTTGCAAGTTAGAGAAATTTCTCTTCAATCCTAAAGAAATATTTTCTGTTGATCTTTAGGCACGTATCCATAGTTTGAATAACAGCAAATAACGCAAATTCAAACCCCTTATTTGGTTAATATGGGTCATTACAAAAAGACAAATTTTATTCAAAAATTGTATTGTCAAGTTGACAGATATTGAGAAGTGTATTCATTCATAAACTGCATTCGAACGACATTTAAATTGAATATTGTATTGTTATCTGATCTGTGAACTCAATGACTTTCGGAAACATATCTTGGGAAAAAAGTTTTTGGCTTTCTACTACTCCATCTCAATACAAAAACATGTGGGAATCTTCCAAAGAAAGGAAGGACGTAACCAATTTCAAAAGAAGTAACTCTATGCATAGACGTGTAGGTCAAGCAAAGAAGTAACTTTCAGACAAAAACTGGAAGAAAAAGCCTTCCTGAAACAACTACTTTCATATAAACATTGAATTACACGAAAGAAAACTTATTTTTAAACAAATACTTTTATATGAACACTGAATTATATAAAAAACACTTTTCTCTACAAAGTTTGTATTCCAAAAATTCGTTATGGAATTAAGTCAGATATCAGTCACAGGATTTCTACACAGTATACTAAATGAAAGGTAAAAACTTCACTTACATGGAACACTGTTATACTCACTAGTAGACATCGATGTTTTGCCATAAGACACTTGCCTTAGGGCTCTTTCAATCATAAATTACGATTTTTATGTCACGAAATAAGT